ATGGAATCGGAAAATACGGAACCGGTTCTGAACAGGAACCGGTTTTCAATTCCCATCCCTAGTGTTGTAGCACACCTCCACTTTCATAACTGAACGCCATTCAAACGCTTCCACACTTGGCACACAGAGAACCCACAGACTGCACCACTGTGGGCTTCAACCAGCAATTATGGCTGCTTTTTCTCTTTTCCTTTACAAGCCGCTTCTAGTTTGACACTGGAAACAAAGGCTTTGACCTCATGGCTCCTGTTTCCTGGGTGGAGTTAGAAAAAGAAATGTTTTAAAGCAACAGGAAGCCATCAACATTTTTCACCTGCTCCTCACTGAATTGATTTTCATTTTATTAATGTAATTTAAGGACCAATCTAACTCATCGTCTGTTTTTTGTTGTCTTTATGGCTGCTTTGTTGGCACTGCTTAGTGTTTATCTAAGAAAGGTATTTGCTGATTCAGATTCCCATAAATCATTTAACCTAAGACCCAAGTTTATCTTGGCAGGTAGATCTTGGTGCTCTTTGCAATAGTTCCTGAAAGTATTGGGTTTTTTTTATTTTTTTTATTTTAAAGATGGTAAAGAAAATCTGGAAATGTGTTCATATTTTTGTGGTGCTGGTGACCTTTATAGTGAAAAGACAGTAGAGGTGGTGGAGAGAGAGGAGCAGTAAAGCTATCTGATCAATTCTACTAAAGATGAACGGATAAACTAGTTAGTCCAAGTTCCTGCTGCGACATTAATCCTTTAAACCTGGAGATGTTCTTCAGGTAATAGGTTTTTCCTCATGAGCATCTGAGGTTTCAGTTCTGTTTCTTTCATTACACCCACATTTACAGCCTGGCTGCTGGTTTGTAGCTGGATTAACCGAAGCTAATTAGTTAACGCTCTTCCTTTGGTCCTGAAATTACTACTTCTCTCTTATTTGAACTTAGCTGAAGAACATGGGCTTCTTTTAAAAGGTTAGCCTAGAAGAACCATAACAAAACAAAACCCTTTTTACATCCGGCTGAAACATGGTTTGGTGTTGTGTAATGAAAGCATAGCAGCAGTTTGCAGCAACGTGGTTCATTGACAGGGTTCCCACGGGTCCTTAAAAAGTCTTAAAAGGCATTGAATTCTTCAAAATAAAACTAAGGCCTTAATTGGTATTAAACTGTCTTAAATCAGTCTTTTGTAGGTCTTAATTTTCAAAACATCATAAATAGGATTATTTTTATTATGATTTATTTTTGTAATCTAAATAAATGATTAAAATTGACCTTTTTTTTATTTAAAAAAAATAATGGCCCGCCATTATTGGTTCCGTCCCGATAGCGGAACCAATAAAAGCGTTGTTGCGGCCGGGACATTTTGGAGACGC